AAATAATTTGAGCTCTTTTGCCCAAAATGATAGATTTGTTCGCTATCAAAAACAGACAAGAGGAAACTCCAATAAAGAGAAAATCAATGAATTTAGAAGGGTGCAGAAGCTGAAAACAAACTAGCCACAAAGTATATTTAATTGTACTTAATTGTATACTTTATTTAAATCGCCCTTCTGAGAGGTTTAATAATTTAGAATCAATAGTTCCCTTCAAAACATAATAAAATATTTACACTTTATAAAATATTAACCGATTAACAATACGGCAGTGTTGTTTATAAGAGTGTAACTGAAGTCCAGTAATCATGCTGTTGACATAAGCCTGGGAGGTTAGCGAAGTGATCCTTCGCAAAATGTAAATGGAGATCTTCAGAGAGCGGTGTTTATAAAATAGCTCATTAATGACTTAAGATTGAATCGCTCCAACCATTCGCATCATCAGATATAATAATAGTGACGAATCAGACAGGAAAGATCCTGGTTAAACCATTTGCATTTTTTTCCAGAAGTACTGAAGTCCTAATATCACCAATTCTTCTAAGTTCCTGGACATTGATCCGGAGGAGGATTCTGCAGTTTAACACCAAGGTAAGGAAAGAAACAGCATTATTATCGTTGTTAAGATATTAATAAGAAATGCGCCTTTCCCCATTTTGAAAACGGGCTCTAACTTTGACAGTGGTAGGTGGTTTTTGCAACACCCCCTTCCCATTCCGACGTGATATTACAGGTTAAAAAAGAAAAGTTCGTCGATCCAACTTACAGTTTGTTTCTTTGCAGACAAAAACCTTTTAGCTACCATCACGAGTTGATTTACTTGAGCCACTTTGTTCTCACAGACTTCGAATTGTGCGTTTTCTCTAACCCGTTCCGTTCGTTTGGGGAGGTGGGGGGATGGGGTTTGGGGAATGAAAAAACAGGGAAAAGAAAACGCTGCCTAAAACTCCAGGGAGGCTACCCGAAGGTTTACTATCCTGTTGGCTTCCTTTCTCGCCGGTCTCCGACCGCCTTACGGGTCGCCCGGGGCTCCTGTGGATCTTGGTGGGCGGCGCCTGGGTGCGGAGTTCTCCGGGATCTGGGCGCTGAGACTAAGGCCAGGGGCAAGTTTTGCTTCTGGGACCCTTTCTCTTCCAGAGGCTCCCCCGCCTCCCAGGCCCCTGCCTTTGAGCGGATGGCCGCGCGCACGCCGCCCACCGGGTGGGTGCGGCGAGTGGACAGCAGCCCGGCCCGGGGCACAGTAGGCTGACGCGACTCCCCGCTGTCCTTGTACGGGACCAGAATGTCCAGAATTGCCCCCCGAGCGCGTTTCCCGAAACCAAATTTAGTTTGGCCCTCTGGCGCCGCCGTACAGTCAACGCTTCTTAAGGGGGACCGGTGGCTCAGGCAGCGAGATGGTGGGGAGTCCTTGGGGTCCAGGGGACTAGGAAGGAGACCCGAGGTGTGCGGGAGGGACAGGAGGTGCCACCAGCTGAGGGGGCTTCACCGGCCTCAAGGCGGGAGGGGACGCGTCCACATTTTCCCGTCCTAGGTCCGGCCCGCGAATGTCAGCCGGCGCCCCAAGCGTCTCGCGGGGGCCGCGGCGCCGGTCCACGTGCTTTTCTTTAAGGAGGTCCCGCGCCCTAGGAGGACCTCAGGGACAAAAGCGCGGCCGGAGGCCGGTCTGCCCGGCCAGCGCCCGCGCCACCTTAAATGAGCACCGCGGCCAGCGCTGGGCTGCGGGCGGCCGTGCCGCGGGAGTCGGCAAAAGTTTGTGGCTCAGTGACGCCTCCGCGGGACCGCTGGGGACGCCCCCGCGCGGCCTCCCCCGGGACGAGGAGGCCGGGTCCCCACCGCCCAGCCCTCCCGGCGCTCGCAGCCCAGGGCTCGAGCCGCCGGGGGTCCCCGGAGTCGCAGCCCCGCAGCCGGAGGACAG